TGAGAGTCTCAGGGCGCTGAGGGTAGGAAAGCACATGGTTCTCTATGCTGTTGGCTTCCCGCTTCTCTACTGCAAGCTCGCAGTCACTGCTGTAGTGGGAAGCCTTTTAGCAATCGGGATGTGGAAAAGGAACGCTCCTCACTTAGCAGTCGCTTAGTAAATATCTGCTGAATGACTGAGTCTACAAAGAACAATTTCCTCAGTCCCTCCAACACACTGGACGCCACACTCACTGGGCGCCGAAGCTTCATGAAGCTAGGCGCAAGCCCTCCACTTCCCACCGCCTCCTCTTCAGGAGCACGTGGAGCTGCAGTAACTCTCACCTGAACCAGCTGGACTTGTCTCGCAGCCACCCAGCGATACACTGGAGCCCAAGTAAACTCCTCGCTCGGAATGGAAAAAAGGTGGAGAAAAGGAAATTTCGCGCCAAACGCTGTGGCCCCGCCCCCAGGCTGTCTCCACGTTCCGTCACCAGCCAGCCCTCCCGTCCCGCCCACCTGAGGACGCACGACGTACGTACGCACGCCAACGTGCAGCCGCCATCATAGATTCCACCGGAGTCGCTGTTTGCGGAAGGAAGTTCCTTACACTGCAGCATTTCCGGTTTCAGAGTAGTCGCCTAAACTCATAAATGAGACTTCCTCCATCTTTGTACATTTCTCACTTTTTTTTTTAACCTGGATGTGACGCACTAAAGGACCCGACAGAAATAGAATTGAAGGCGTTCTAAAATGGCGAACCGCACAGTGAAGGATGCGCACAGCATCCACGGCACCAACCCTCAGTATCTCGTGGAGAAGATCATTCGGACGCGAATCTATGAGTCCAAGTACTGGAAAGAGGAGTGCTTTGGGCTTACGGGTGAGTAGAGGGAGCGCGCCGACCCCCTATCGGCCGCTTTGTGCCCCAGTTCGCCTCACTAGGCGCCAGTAGGACTGGCCCCCTGGGGATAAGACTGGAGGGGAATCTGTCATCCAGAAAAATCTGAGCGACTACTGTGTGCCTATACTTGTGTTGCGGTTGGGCACACAGATGATAGGGCCTTATCCTGAAGGGTGTCTCAGTTGGGTTTTTTGAGTCATTCCATGTTTAATGTTAACTTGCCAAGTTCCAAACAGTGTTAAGTTCTGGGACCCCGAAGGTATATGAAAGTCAGCATGCCGGGAACCAAATTCATGATCTTATATTGTCCTTAAATCTGGACCATTTGTAATGTTTCCGCGTTCGGGTCCTAATATCAGTTTTTCAGCGAAGTTTTCCAGGTAGTCTTTTCATCTTTTAGTAACTGTTTTAGTTACTAAAACAGTAACTGGCTTTTCTTTTTAGTAACTGTTACTTCAGTGAGCCATGGCTGCCTTTACTCTGAAATGAGTATAATGCCCACCCCAAGGATTGTTCTAATCATTGACTGCAGTAACATAAAAAGTGTTTGGTATAGTTACAGGTATATATTAATAAAAAGTACTCAGGAATCAATGGTGGTGGTGGTGCTGGTTCTTACCACTGTTAAATACTTTCGTTACTGCTGCTGCCATCACCCCTAGCTGAGTGTCCATGGACAATAGTATTCTCATTCCATAGTTCTCTCCTTGGATTGATCCCGTAAGAGTTACGTCCTGTATATGTCAGTGCCTTCAAATTTATCTCTCCAGCCCAGGTATTTTCCTGAGATCTAAATCTCTAATTCGAAGACATGCCAACTCAGTGTGTCCAAAAGTGAACTCAGCACCCTTTTTTCTTCTAACACTAGGTTACGTTCCCTTGTGGTATATTTTCATTGCATTCTGTGCCTTCTTTCAACTACTCATCACACTTTTGTTATTTTTTCAGTGCTTTCTGCTTTGCCAGACTGTAGACTTTGTAATAGTAGTAATTGTGTGCCTCTTTATTTCTCTATCTGTATCTCTCGTACTTACAGAATTTATCCTAAAGGAACTTGAAATCTGATATATAAAATGATTTCTCATTAGTGGTATCTAACATTTGTTTTTTGCTATGTGTCAGGTGGGTATTAGCATTTATTTGTGTTGTCGCATTTGATTTTCACTATACCCTTAAACTTTGTACCTTTATTATTTAGATTTGAACTGACAGGCCCAAAAGAAGGTAAACTGACTTGCCCTTGTTCACACAGCTAATATTTGATTTTGACAGCAGCATTGCAAGGTTATTATCCCCATTCTGTAGATGAGGTTTGATCAAGGTTATGTAGCTATTGAGAAGTTGTTTTTCTTTTTTGTTTTATTTTGAGAACCAAAAAGGAACTTTGTAATGAATCTGACATGTTCACTGACCAAAAATAACTTCACAGAGTGCTCTGATCATAAATTCCTAAAGGGGCAGGTTGTTGTGGGTAGTCACACCCCATGCCTATAACTTCTTCAATAAAAGGTTTATCTTCACCTTAAGCAAGCCTTGTTCATTGTTCTTAAGCATCTAGATTAACTCACCTTTGAAATATCAGAGTATGCCCTTTTGGGTAATACCTAATCTTGTTAACTATCCTGTAATCCAATTATAGAGATTTCTCTACCTTGCTTTCTCCCACCATCATGTAATCTTCCTTAATCCCTTGCTTAATTCCAAATGTATAAAAAGAACTGCAAAATTCATTCTCCTGAGCATCTGAGATTTTGCTTTCTGGCATATCATCAGTGTGGCTCATAAAACTCTTACAAAAATTCTCTGCAGGTTTGGACATTCTTATGTCAACACTTTTAACTCATAATCTGGCAATGTTGGCCCTAACATAATGATGACAAGCATGGACTCTGAAGTTAGACTGCTTAGATTTAAGTCCAGGCCTTGCTATTTTCTGGCAGTGTACTTTGAGCAAGTCACTTAACCTTTCTTAGCTCTCATTTTCCTTAGCTGAAAACAGAGGCAGTGCTAGAATTTACCTCATGGCTTGTTGTGAAGATTAAATGAGGTAATACGAAATGCTTAGCAAACTACCTGGCATATAGTCATCCATAAGGTATATTAGGTGCTATCATCATTATTTATTATTATTATTATTAATCCACTCTTATTCTCTTACATTAAACTGTTGATGAGTATTCAGGAGCACTACACCTTGAACTAACTTCTCTCCACTTCCAACTGGGAAAAGCTTAGCCTTAATTAATGTCTGTGATGTCACTCTATTTGTTTTTTGTTTTTGTTTTTAGCTGAACTTGTAGTCGATAAAGCCATGGAATTAAGGTTTGTGGGTGGCGTCTATGGTGGCAACATAAAACCAACTCCCTTTCTGTGTTTGACCTTGAAGATGCTTCAGATTCAACCGGAGAAGGATATTATTGTTGAGTTCATAAAAAATGAAGACTTCAAGTGAGTGAAATATTGACTAATATAAAAGCTTCAATTTCAGTAGTCCAGAATTTGGCTTTGGTTAAGAGGAGTGATAACAATGAATCTAATTTCCACAGAGTTCCACTCACTCCTAGATTTTGCTCTTGAACTCTTCAATTTGTATTTTGTCTGTTTTGATTGTATTGATCTTCTGTACTTGATTTCAGTCTTGGTAACTTTCCTCCCCAAAAATGTATTTCACAAAGTCACCGGACACTCAAGGGTGAAGAAAACAACATAGTGTGGTAGATAAGAGGGAAATTTCTGGTGTTAGATATAGGTTCATGCCCACACTCTGTTGCTTATTAACTGAGACTTTACAAGAGTTACTTGATTTTCTAAGCTTTACTTTCTTTACCTGTAAAATAATGACAGTAATATCAACTCAGGAATGTGAAGGTTGAAGAAGATAGTGCTATAAATCTCATGACACAGTGTATATTGTATATTGCATGTTAAACACCCCCAAAATATGAGCTGCTCTTATTTTAATTACCCATTCTCAAGAAGCTCACAAACAAATATGAGAGACATAATAGTTTATTATGTGCCAACATCTATTCTAAGGAATTTACATATAATAATAATTTATTTAACCTTCACAACAACCCTATAAAATTATTATCCCTATTTATAGGGAAGGAAACTTAGGCACAAAGAGATTAAATAATTTCCCCAAGGTTAAACAGCTAGTGATAAAGCTGGATTCAGCATCCATATTATCTGTTATCTAAGAGATCTGAATGGGTGGTTGGCTATAAGAGGAAGAGAAAAGCAAGGAATCTTATGAAACATTAATAGCTAGAAAATTGCTAACTTTTATTAGGCACTTAATTTTATGTGCTGTAGCCAGTAAGTTAGGTACTATCATTTGCATTTTACAAGGATTGAGAAAACAAGTTAGTAAATAATGGAGTCAGAATCTGAAACCAAATGACTTTGACTTTTTTCCAGAACCAGTTTTCTGCCTATCAACAATTTATACAGTCATGTTTATATGTATTAGTTCTTGTATTGTTAGTAAATACAATTTTTATACTTTCTGTTGTTAAATTCAGTATCTCAGTTGATTCTTACAATAATCCTGTGAGGTAAATAGGTTCTATCTTAGTTTTGCAGATGATATAATAGACTCTGAAAGTTGAACATGTCCTATGTTCCTGCATCTAGTAAGCGGTAGAATGGGAACTTGAACTCAGGTCTCCATACTTTAGCTCTTTCTACTGCCCCATGCTGCCTCTAAAATTGCAGCTTTCTCATCTCCCAATGAGAAGAAACTTGTTTACTACTGTCATGAGAAAAGCATGTTGTAAAACTCAGGAACTTTTTAGGATGAACTTTTAGAACCTTTTAGAATTTTTTAGGAAATATTTCACTTTCATTTATCGGTCAGGTATGTCCGCATGTTGGGAGCACTTTACATGAGGCTGACAGGTACTGCAATCGATTGCTACAAGTACTTGGAGCCTCTGTACAACGACTATAGAAAAATCAAGAGCCAGAACCGAAATGGGGGTGAGTATGGTTCCACGTGACTGGACCTTCATCCCTGAGCCAGTTTTTGTTTTCACCAGTATCTCTACCCTCGCTTTGTCACATACATTGCGAGTGCTCCCCTTCATCTCCTTCATGGGGAGTACTCTATTAAGACTACTAGCTTCCTGTTGGTCTTAGCCATCCTGCCCTGTCTGCTCCCCTTTCCAACTGCATCTTATGTTAATCCATGCCTTACATCATGTATTCCCTCCATATGTGCTCTGTCCCATAAGATCTAGCTACAGAATGACCTTCTCCATAAAAGCTTTCCCCAAACCTCCCAAAGTTAGTTTTCCATATGTTACATCTTTACAGTTCTTTCTACTGGCCTATCCTCTAGCACTATGCTTCACACTACTGTATATAGACTAAATGTACTTACTCATACTTATGTGGGAGTCCCATTGAAAAATAAGAAGTATATCCAACAAGGGCAGCTCCATACCTTTTACAAAGAGACATTTTTAGTGGTAAAGTGGGATTTGGGATAATGCAATCAAAACCTTTTTTAGTGTCATAAAGTTTGGTGACATTTGCCTTTCCCCTCTACATGTATCATTAAGCAGTTTGAAGGTTAAGAATATGGTATTAGACTTTAAAACTTTTGTTAACTTATTAATTCATTCACTGAATAAGTACGTATTAAGTGCCACTGTCATTCCAGGTACTATGCTATGTTTTAGAAATAACATGGTGAACAAGATGGACATGGTTATGGCCAATGTGGAATTAATTATTTATGATTATATTATACTAAACTAAGATAGGGTTTCTCAACCTGTTGACAGTTTGGGCCAGATAACTCATTGTTGTGGGGAGCTGTCCTGTGCATTGTAGGATATTTAACAGCATCTCTGGCCTCCACCCACCAGGTGCCAGTGGCACCCAAGTTACTGGGGGCAAAACACCCCTGGTTGAGAACTACTGAACTAAGGGAGTGTTTACAATTCTGAAATTGCTCTATTAACCATATAAAATATAAGTTCTATATTCAGAAACATAGTGGCTTTACATGAGAAATTACACTTTAATTATAACCTATTCAAGAATCTCACCCCTATAAAATTCACTACTATTTGTGCTTGCTTTTTTGTCTCTCCTGCTAATTGGGACAGCCTCATTTACCCCTTTATCCCCAGCTCCTAAAAGAGACCTGGCACATAGATGATCTCAATAAAGGTGAGTTGACTGAATGAAGGTAAGTGGTGATGATGAGGCTATGAAGGGCTATAGTTTGAGCCCAAGTTTAACAGTAGTCCCTTCTTTGTAATTGCCACACTATAATAGTTTTATTAGTAAATGTGCAGAGAAAGGGAAGCTGCAGAGAATTCATACTTTCTATAATAGATACTTTGTTAGCTACTTTACATATAGAGTCTTACATTTCTTTTACATTTCAGCTATCTAAATTTATCTCCAGCTTGCTTGAGCTTATGATTTTTCTTTCAGAGTTTGAACTGATGCACGTAGATGAATTCATCGATGAACTACTGCACAGTGAGAGAGTGTGTGATATCATTCTACCCCGACTACAGGTAAGAAAGGTCACCCTTCTTCCCCCTAAAACAGGCAGATAGACATAATAAACCGCTGAAGCTAATGCATTTCAGGGGTCTTAATATGTAATCTTCATATCTATGAAAAAGATAGGAAGTAGGAGTGAGAGGAAAGCAGATAATTTGAAGAGATGGGCTTTAAAAGTGAATAACACAAGAAAACTTTAAAATGGTAGATCAAGGAGATTATAGCTAGGCTAGGTTTTTAAACTTTGTGAGCAGCTTTTTTTGCAAATTAATCCTCATATAAAAATTCAGGATATAAAACAGATCAAAGGAGGGTCAGGAATGGGAGACTGAGACTTTAACCCTTAAAATATCACCGTAATCATCTTGTTTCCTTTTCCTAGAGTTAAATGATTATCCATGAAGCACCTTTCAGGAATGAGTTTTAGAGAGTATGATTTTAAAACTACTGTTGGAAATACAAAAAGAAAACATCCAGTGGGTAGCCTAAAGAGAATGTGGAGAGAGATCTGGAGGTTTCTAAAGAGAAAGTGGCAAGATGACCGAACAGGGAATAAAGAGACCTAAGTTTCTGGGTTTAATTAGAGCTAACTAGCTGTGGAACCTGGTCTTATTTTCCCATCCGTAAAATGAGGAAACTATTAGACTACTTCAGTGGTCTTTAAACTGCTCTGTGGACTGTTTTAAGGTTACTGAGAGGAATGAGACAACCTCACATATTCCAACCAGGACAGCTCCTTTTTTCTCTAAGTTACACATTGGGCTTGAGGGTGCAATTTCATTTGAACAAAGGCTTTTTTTCTTTAAATGGCTTTATTAAGGCATAACTGACATAGAATAAACTACATATATTTAAAGTGTACAGTTTGGTAAGTCTTGACACGTATACACCTTTGAAACTATCATCACAGTCAAGAATAGCGAACTTACCCATCACCCCAAAAAGTTTCCTCCTTTTATGTAATCCCACCCTCCCACTACTCTCCCTCATCCCTAGGTAACCACTGATATGCTGTCTATTACAATAGTTTATTTTTCATTTTGGAATAATACAGTGCATTCTCTTTTTGTCTGTCTTTTCTCACTCAGCATAATTATTTTGAAATTCATCCATATTGTTGCATGTATCAAGTTTATTTTATTTCTGAATAGTATTCCATTATATGGATATAACACAATTTGTTTACCCATTCATCTGTTTATGCAGAATTGTGGGATACAAAATTCAATCTACAAAAATCAGTTGTATTTCTATATACTAGCAATGAACAACTGGAATTTAAAATTTTATTAAAAATATTTACATCAAAAAATACTAAAAAATTAAGGTAATTTTGTCAAAAAGTATGCAAGACCTACACTTAAAACTACAGAACATTGCATTACTGAGAAATTAAAGACAAGTAAATGAAGAGAGATGTTTATGGTATATCTTACACCATGATTAACAGTTGTTTAATTGTCAATTCTCCCATTTTAATCTATAGATTCAATTCCAATCAAAATCTTAGTAGACTTTGGTAGAACTTGACAAGCTAATTCTAAAATTATATGAATATGCAAAGGACCTAGAATATCTAAAAGAACTTTGAAAAAGAACAAAGTAGGAGGACAAACACTACCTGATTCCAAGACTTGGTATAGTAACCAAAACGTGTTATATTGGCATGAAGATAGACAAATGGATCAATGGAAGAAAATAAAAGGACCACAAGTAAATTGTGGGTGTGTGTATGTGTAGTTAATTAGTTTCCTACACAGATGTCATTGAGAAAGAATAATCATTTCCATAAATAGTGCTGGAATAATTGAATAGCCATGTGGAAACAAATCTCCATCCTTAGCTCACATCGTATGTAAAAATTAACCTGAAGGTGATAATAAACTTAATCATAAATGCTAAGACTATGAGATTTCTAAAAACAATAGGAAATCTTAGTAACCTTGGGTTTGAAAAACTTTTCTATAATAAGACATAAAAACATGAATTATTTATTAAAAATTAATAAATTGGCCTTGCTAGGTATAAACCAAAAGGGATAAAGATAAAAGGTCACGTAGTATATAATTTTTTTTATGTCATATATCCAGACTGGGTAAATCCATAGAGACAGAAAGCAGATTAGTGGTTACAAGGGGGCTGTTGGGAGGGGGGAATGAGGAGGGATTACTTAATAATAGGTGTGGGGTGGTTTCTGGTGTGATGAAGTTTTCAAACTGGTGCGATGAAGTTTTTAAACTGGTGCGAGGTGGTGGTTGTATAGCATTGTGAATACACTAAAGACCTCTGAATTGTACACTTTAAAATGGTTAATTGTACGTTATATGAATTTCACCTCAATAAAAAAAACAGATCAAAGGGATCTGAAAAACTTCAAAGTGGGTACTAGAATGAATTGTAAGTATTTGATAAACGGATGAGATAAATTTGCTCGATGCAGCAAACAAGGTGGTTAAAAGCAGTTGGTAGGCGAGTGCTCACACTTAAATACAATGGACCAGCTCTTCCTTCACAGTGACCCAGTTACAGGAAAATCTTATAAAAATCCTGAAAATGAGCACAGTATATATTTCCTCTTCCATATTGACTGCTGTAGTGAAGAGAAGAAGATTTCAAATCTGAAAACCTGTTTCCAGGGCCCAATTCTCATACTAAGTGTTTATACATTTTATTAGCTGCTCTAATTATTATATCATCATCCTTATTATTATCCTTAGTTGCTATCATTATTTTTAGAAATACTACAAGAAATGGAATTCTTTGAAGTACAGTCAGGTTGTAAATAAGGGTTCCAAAGCATAGTCAGCTCTGAGCAAGCCTAGTGATGTAAATGAAGTAGTCTGCATAGAGTCCGGAAGAGTAAGAACAATCCTCACTGAGGAGAAATTGAAATCTGACTGATATCTGTTATATCACCAAGATGTGTGTTCTGGTCTGGGCTTCTACATACACCGGATGGTGTGACCCTTAAGACTACCTTTTGCTCTGATTCTGTTCTTACTAAGTAATCCAAAGCTCATGTGCCTGACATTGGCAGGAAGCTGCTGTAGAATGAATTGTAATTTCATCAAATACTATGAATATATTGACTTTAGAAACTTTCGAGTCTGCTGAGCATTAAAGATTCTGGATGCCTATCTGATGCAGTCCTGGATCCCAAACTGTAGTGATCCTGTGACTGGAGACCCCTTTTCTAAGGACTGACTTCACTGAGTGGCATCTTTGTCTCATTCAACTTTTACAGAATTTTGTTAGGGATGAGTGAGAGTTGAGTAGCATGCAATTGTTACTATTTATTCTTGGGCTATCCAACATTCTTTATGTCCGTGGTAAGAAAATGTTAAGGGATCTTATGACCCAGCCAGTCCATTTGGCAGTTTTGAACTCACCTTTGCCTTTCAAGTCCTTAGTCACTTGATAAGTACTGCTAAGCCACATCTAAGAAAATGGAACCAGAAGATTGTTTCCTGTGCCTTATGAAAAATGAATGGCTTTAGACAGCTCCCTAAATCTTGGATCTACTGGAGAATTGGTGCTACTAAAGCAGGACGCAAGGCAGTTTAGCCCCTAAACTGGGCTGAACCTCAGTGGCTCTCTTGGGATATTTTCTGATCTGAACCTCTCCTGATGGAACTACCAGCCAGTCGTCTCAGCCATGAATTTGTGGCTCTTTTTTGAAGCCCACATTTTTTATTTAAGGCTACAACTATACTGATTGATATCCCAGTGAACTTACAGTATAAAATCACAGGGAATAGAGCAGACAGAAAATGGTGTTCCCTTCAGCTTTGTATTTGTTTTCAGGGGAACTTAAGAGTGTATAGATTATTCCAGGTCTTTTCCTTAGGAAAATCTTGAACTGTCTAGGATGTCTTCAAAATGAAATTGCCTTAGCTATTGTTTGTTTTTCTGTTAATCCCAGAAGTCCACTATTAGGGCTTCAGGACATAAAGGAGCTAGGAAGGCTCCCTAACTCATTGTGTTCTTTATAGAAACGTTATGTGCTAGAGGAAGCTGAGCAACTGGAGCCTCGGGTTAGTGCTTTAGAAGAGGACATGGATGACGTGGAGTCCAGTGAAGAGGAGGAGGAGGAGGATGAAAAGGTCAGGTACCTGGGAGCTTAAGGGTTGGAGGAAGGATAGTTATAGGGGATGATTCCTTTTTTGTTTTGCTTTTAATTTTTAACTTTCTTTAACCAAAAAAAATGTAAGAGCATGTGCTTTAGAGTTAAATAGGCCTTGATTCATTTCTCAGCTCTTCTATATATAGTGGTATATAGTGGAATTATCTAATCTCAGTTTTCTCCTTTTTAAAGCAAGAATAATATCTTTCTGTTAGGACTATAATGAGTATTAAATGAGATGATATACATAAAGCCCTTAATATTGGGACATTATAATATTGTCTAATAAGTAGTAACTATTAAAATAAATACTTGAGACAAAAATAATACTGTTTATAATTGAACTCATCCTAAGAACTAAGCCTGGATTAAGGGGGGAAACGTGCCTACTACATGGTCATGTTCTTTCACTATTTGCTATAATGCTGAAAACTTGAAATAACCAACCTGTCAGGGAGCAGTCAGATAAACTATTATATCAACTTAACAGACTATGAGGCAGCCATTAAAACTGTTAGGAAAAGTATATGATAATGTGGAAATGCTTACAGAAAGTTAAAAAAGGACTTAAAACTTATTTGTGATTAAAACTGAAGTAACAATTATGTATAGAAAGAGGCTGGGGGAAATACAAGAAATGCTGGCTTGTGGATACTGAGACAGTACAAATGGAAGTATAGCTCTGAGCCATCAGGCTCTCGTTAAGGCGACTGCAAAAGGAGGCACAGTCATTCATGAATTCAAAGCTGTGCAAAGCTGAGGTGCTCTTCTGTGGTGAGTGAACCAAAGTAGGGTTTTTTTTTTTTTAATAGAAAATTTCAGTTACATACCAAAGTGGAGAGAATGTGCCTCAATTTACCTGTCAACCTAGCTTCAACGGTGATCAGCAGAGCCATTTTGTTTCCTCTATATCTGTACCCATTTGCCCCCATCAGTGACCTGGAAGCAGACCACAGCTGTCATCTATTTCATCCATATTTCAGAAGGGCTCCCTTTTTAAGTATAACTGATACCATCATCACCCCACCCCCAAATTAATAATTCCTTAATTCTATCAAATATTCAATATTCACATTTCCCCAACTGTCTTGTATTTTTTAATAGTTTCAGTTAGTACTCAAATAAGGTCAATAAATTTTAATTGGTTTTTATGTCCCTTAAGTATTTTGTAGTCTTCTCAGTTCCCTTTTCTTTTGCAGTTTTTAAATATATCAGGTTAAATTTTTCTATAAATGTCTTCACATTCTGTATATTTTTTATTGCCACTGTTGTATCACTTAAGATGTTCATTTGTCCCTTGTATTACTTTTAAACTAGTTCTTAGATCTAGAGGCTTAATTGGATTTGGGGATTTAACCCCTTTGAAGTGGAGCAAACTACTTCATAGGTAGTCATGTCCTTTCCCTAGGATGAACGAAAGTCTGATTCTTTTTGTTGCTGCTGATGTGTCTAGATCCATTAAGGGTTGTAAAATGATGATATTCTAATTCTTCATTTCCTCGACACTGCTATAGAGAGAAACCTCCCAAATCAACATTTAGTTTTCATAGGTAGTTTATATAGGAAAGGCAAAATTCATATTTCCTTTTATCAGTTTTTAAAATGAGTTGATTCCACAGTATCCTGCCAAGGTGAATGCTCTTTTGTTCTTGGTAACATTGTGAATTCATGGATTTAAACATCTCTGATGTGTTTTGAGCCATTATTATCCTTCTTGATGCTCAAATTGTCCCATCTTTGGCCAGTGGGGGCTCTTCAACTTGACTCGTGAGACTTTGATACATACTAGTCCTCATCGTCCTTGCTAATATATGCTCTAGTTATGTTGTTAGCTTCTGCCCTGCTCCCCACAACCTAGCCATTTTCTAAGGAGCCCTTGGTTCTATTTATTGAGATACGGTATTTAGATACCACAACTTGGGTACTGTAAGTGCTTGTTGCTGCAGGTCTATTTGGTAGGTTTTTTTGTCCTAAGAGTTATCCCCCTATGTATTCAAATTACTGTTTTTTAAAGTCTCCTGAAGGTAGAGTTTGGGACAGAATGGGAAGGAGAGTGTAAGCAGTGTTTCTAGATGGCTCTCTATAAGTCTGTGCTCATCACTGACCCATCTCATTTCCAGCTGGAGAGAGTACCATCACCTGACCATCGGCGGCGAAGCTACCGAGACTTAGACAAGCCCCGTCGCTCTCCCACACTGCGCTACAGGAGGAGTAGGAGCCGGTCTCCCAGGAGGTAAGGCCCTAGTTATCTGCTTCTTCCAGGGAAACTTTAAGTGCTATAGTATAGAAGTTTGGACTTAGTGAAGGAAAAATGCCAGTAAAATGCCAGATAAGGAGAATGTTTGCTCGCCTAGTCTATCAGCAAAATAATCACCCACAAAACTTCAGTGGCAGACAGTAACAATCTATTTAAGTTCACAAGCCTGCAGTCAGTGATATAAGCTGGGCTTAGGCAGTTTTTGAGGATGTTCACTCACCTGTTTTGCAGTCAGCCAGTTTGTGATGGCTTTAGTTAGGATGCCTGGGGCAGCACATCTCTTCACGTGTGTCTCGTTCTAGGCTAGTTTAGGCATGTTCTCATGGTGGTGACAGAATTAAAGAGCAAACAAGCCTGATCAGCAGTTATCTTTCCACTGTCTACTTCTATCACATCTGAAAATATCCCATTGGCCAATGCAAGTCACATGGCCGATCCCAGACTTGAAGTGGGGATTGTGCTAAAGCGACATGACAGAGGACATGGATAATAGAGATGGGTGAAGAATTGGGCTAAGTTTTATAATCTGCAACATCCAGTGTATACCTAGTAAGGCTTTTTTTTTCTCTCTCTCTCTTCTTTCCATATAGGCGGAGTCGGTCTCCAAAACGGAGGAGGTAGGTCTTCAGTGATTTGCAATGAAGGATAGGGATTTGGGGAGGGAGATGCTGTTGTGACTGCGTTGTCGGCGAGATATGAGTCTGAACAGTCATTTTCACAGCCCTTCCCCTCGCCGAGAAAGGCATCGGAGCAAGAGTCCAAGACGGCACCGCAGTAGGTCCCGAGATAGACGGCACAGATCCCGCTCCAAGTCCCCAGGTATGTAGCATTTGGACCTTTTGCTATTGGTTGTCTTAACAAAGAAATGTAATAGAAGCAGTTAACCTCCTGCAATACCTGAGAGCCTAACTTATTACTGTTTAGAAAAGGAAATCAATTTAGACCGGAAAGATTAAGAGTTCACACCTTGACTGTCATTTATAAGCTTTGCTGATAGGATGATGAGCTTCAGTTTTTTCATCTGAAGTTATAGGAATAAGACTTAACAGAGTAGTGGCATATGAAATGGGTTCAGTTCTCCTCTCCCTACCCCACAAACACAGCTCAGTTCAGAGAGGTGCTACCAACTAGAGGTGTCCCATGGGCCAAAAAAATATTAAGCCAATGGAAGGGATTAAGAGAGGTGAAAATGATAGTGGAGAAGAGTAGAATCTCATTCATCCAATGGCTTTTCTTCCCCAGGTCACCACCGGAGTCACAGACACAGAAGCCACTCAAAGTCTCCTGAAAGGTATGGATTAATTCTGTTTTGACTTAAGAATTTCATTCTTTATTCAGAAATTAAAGTCTCAATCACAACTAAACTAGACCTGAAATTTTCTTGTTAATAATGGGGATAATTAGGATTTCTCCTTCATTACAGGACAAAACTAGCCTGTTGCCTGAGAATTGCTAGAAATATGTTTGTGGTGTTTTGTTTTTCCCTGTAGGGCTGCTGCTTTGAATAGAAGCAGGGCATAAGCTTTGGTCTCAGGAGACCTGCGCTTGCATCCCAACTTTTACGGAGTGACACTGGACAAGTCACTTTGATGAACTTTCATTAGAAATCTCTATATGCTACATACATGCTTAGGTGCACTCTTATCCTCTCAGAGATCATTTTCTCAATGATAAATTTTGGATAGTAATGCACAACTCATTTTATTGCTCTGAGAAAAACACGGCGCACATTTAATGAACATTGGTATCATTTCCATCTCAGTTCTGTGTCAGCATACTCTGGTCTTCCTCAAAAGTCCTTGCCCAGCTATTAAATTTCATGATTTGTATGTGTTGCCATTTCAGATCTAAGAAGAGCCACAAGAAGAGCCGGAGAGGGAATGAGTAATGGACTCAGTTTGGATTTAGTCTAAATGGCCTCCTTCAGAAAAGAAGGCATCTGTCCACATGGAAGGATTAAGATCTACTCCTCAGGCAGCTATGAGAATATTTTAGGAGTTTTTTTACGTAAAAGTTTCTCCACTTTTTTTTTTTTAATGAAAGATGCGCTGAGTTTTCAAATTTATGAGGATAGAAAGGATTTGAAGAGTGGAAGGTATATGAATGACAAGGAGAGGATGTGGCCGCCTAGTGATAACTTTTGTTATTAAATTTCACACGCCCATTTCCCATCTTTCTGTGGTTTAGTTTTTGGTTTACTCCATGATTGAAACTTCTGAGAATGCTAAGATTTATGCTGCTACTGTTACATTCAGAGATCAAGTCAGTAAAACATATTGGCACTAACTTTTTTCTCAGCAGTAATAAATGGCAATAAACATGAAAACTGACTGATTAATAGCAGCTTTGTAAGAAAAGAATGCAAATGTAAGACTTCTTCTGGATCATTTAATCCAGTTGCACTGAACAGTTCAACAAACAGTAAAACTTAACATCTTTTCTACAGCATTCTTATAATAGTGTTGTATCTTCTACACAAGCCTTGAATTCCAGGCTAAGGTGCTCAGCCTTTATCTTACAAGCGTTGACATTATCCAAGTCTAGGCAGTAGTGGTAGGGCAACAACACTGAAAAGGTTTGATGGAAGAGAAAAGTAATACCACTCGGGGTTTTGACCTGATCTGCTGAACAACAGTGCCATTCACAAAGCCAGAAAATACAGCAGGAAAAAATCAGGATATGGGGGGCATGTAGTGAGGGTTGTGATAGTGAAAATGGTCAGTTTAAGTTTGAGACAGCTATGATACAACTAGGTAAAGCCCAGACAGTTGGAAATAGGGACTGGCTTTGAGCATAGTCATCTATCCCCGAACTGACAATGTTTAGGTAATTGTGGAAGATGTAGAATTAAATGACGTTGCCAAGGGAGTGTGCGTATGTGTAAGAAAAGGCAACAACAGAACCACAGGCAACAGCAACTCTGGTGAGAGGATGAAGTGCAGTCACCTATTGAAAACTGAAATGAACCATTTCAAATTAGGAGAGAGTAGGTCTAAGGATAAGCAAAATAGGGACTCAGAAGTGTCCATGGGCATTGATAATCAAGAGGGTGTTAAGATCTTTGCTAGAAAAGTTCTATTTACCTGTACTTACCTTTCCTCCTTTAAAAATGGAAAAGTGATATGAATGACTTCCTGCATCTCTGGTCCCAGCAAGAATTGTAACCAACTGCCTCATCGGATGGATCCAGCTTCTTGGGAAACCATATCTGGTCATAGGATAAACATTCTATTGCTTGCTATCGAACTGAAGGATTTTTGCAGCAATATTAAAGCATTTTGGAATATTTGAGATTTCATATTCTTCAGTGATTCCTGATAAAACTTTCAGCTAATAAAAACTGTCCGTATAGGTGTTATGATTTATCATACAACTATATATGACTGCCTTTAAAAGTTAAATATAAGCACCTCTACTTCCATCGGACAGTCCTAGCAATTTTTTTCTTTACCAGTGATCTAGATGAAAAGACATGTCTTTTTCCTAAATAACCTACAGACCAATCAAGTTGTCATCTAGTATACTGTTAAATTTTTTACACTTAAAAATTTTAAAACCTGCCTTAAAAAACCCTAATGATTTTTAATAGCAGAAATAAACCTCCCCAAACATAAACTATAAACTTAAAGCATACTTATTTTAGAGATATGATAAAATCTGGACCAAATAGGGGCAGCATAGCCAACCTAAAGCAGGAAGTAGACTGCCCCTATTCTCTCAGTACACAGAGGTAACAGTGAGTGGAACACAAATATCTCTGGAGAGCATTTTGGTAAATTACAGATTTGCAGAGGAGATGGAACTTAAGGATATACCTTGCTGAATGGCCATTTCTGTCATCTATGTGCTAGCCTAGTGGATGAGGCCTTGGAACTGTAGCTTTATAACTTTTTGGTCTATGAAGATACATTTTGCAACTTACCTGTGTACATATACTGTACTGAAAATTTTTTCAGGAAAATATTTGTATTATGCAAAACATTCTGATGTTTACAGTATCAGTTTTTAATGTTGGGTACAAACCACTAAATTGCTTTCACGTTCCCACACTTTGAATTATATTGCCTTAAAAACTTTGCTATAGGGAAAAATGACATTTCTAAAAAATGAAGGGAGAAATGTGTTCTCAGGGACAAAGGAAATAATGGATTTGGTGAGAGGCTTCCAATATAACAACCCAACTTAAAAGCTCATTCTCCCTAGCCCCTTTGCATTATCTTCAGTAGACTGATTTAAGTTCAAATAAGCATTAATGAGAAAAGAATGATCACAAATACTGGCCACTCCCTCCAAAAAGTTAAGTTCTCCACAGACTCAAAAATGATATAGCAAGGTGATCTGTTTTTAAAAATGCAAGTATATAAATCAAAAGGAGATTAAAAGATAAAAGATGGAAAATAAGTTTAGCAGAGTAAAAAATTAAGATTTGAAAAATCAGAAATTAAACTTTAGAAGACTAAAATAAACAAGGTTTTGAGAAAATAGGCTGGAGGAAATTAAAAGTGGAAAATAAAAGCTACAGAGAAAACAAGAAATCCTACATATACATAATGGAAATTTCTGATGAGAACTGGGTAAATTAAAGTTCCAAAAAAATAGAATTTTCTGAAATAATAAGCACTCTATCAAGAAATATCCTGATAAAGTTAAGATAATCATGGGGATCCACGCAGAGAAATCATGTAAAGAGAAAAAGAATTAAGGTCTCAGATCTTAGAGCAAACTTCACAAGGCAGTGAAGCAAAAGGCTCCAAAGGGCTGAGTAAAAGTGCCATGAATTTTATACACAACCTAAGTTGTCTTTAAAATAAAAAAGGAACAGATATTCTCAAGTATGCGTGAACTTACAAGCATTCAATCACTTGGGAAAAAATTGCCCGATAATGTAATTCACCCAACAAGAAATGAATCAAATTAAGGAGTTAGGAAAGAAGCAGTAAAAGAAGTAGTGGTAAACATTTTAAAAACTGATAATGGGAAATGATTATAAGATTCAAATTAAATATATGAACATTGTCTATATAGAAATAATATAACTAGGAAGTAGAGGAACTCCTAAGTGTACTAGTTCATTTATCTTAATAGGAATCATATACTGTAACTAAAATGTACATAAAGCTAGAAAAAAGATTCCAGCCTCTTTAATATTTCCTATAATTATCTTTAATTTTCATAGGAAACTTAGAACTAGATTCTCTTATACAAATTAAAGTTTTAAGTTGAGCATTTCATTTTCACATTTTTTTCCTTTTGCTAAATCCAAGTAAAATTAACTTACCATAACAATATGAGCCCATTTTTGTAAAACGATTTGGCAATATGTCACAGGAACCTTAGAACTTTTATCTGTTTTACCTAATCATCCCATTTATAGGAATTCACCATAATAGGAAAACATACACAAAAACAGCTTTATCCTAAAAATGAAACTAGACCACTTTCTTACACCATATACCAAAAAAATCCCAAAATGGATTACAGACTGAAATATAAGACCTGCAACCATAAAATTCCTAGGAGAAAACATAGGCAATAAAGTCTTTGACACTGGTCTTAGCAATCATTTTCTGGATATGTGTCCTAAGGCAAAGAAACAAAAGCAAAAATAAACAAATGGGACTACATCAAACTAAAAAGTACTTGCGCCACAAAGGAAAACATCAACAAAACAAGGGCAACATACTGAACTGGAGAAGTTATTTGCGAATGATATATCCAATGGTAGTTAATATCATAATATATATATAACTCATACAGCTCAGCATCAAAAAAACAATCCAAGGATCACTTCTTGCCTTCTGGCTAAAATCAAGTATAGTATCTGTTCTTGCCAGTTTAAAACAATACAAGGACACGAATAGACAAGACACATGAAAAGATGCTCAACGTCACTAATCAGGGAAATGCAGATCAAAATCGCAATGAGATACCACCTCAGACCTGACAGAAATGGCTATTATCAATAAATTAACCAGTGTAGGCGAGGATGTAGAAAAAAAGGAACCCTCATGTACTCTTGATGGGCTTGTAAACTGGTGCAGCCATTATGGGAAACAGTATGGAGGTTCCTCAAAAAATTAAAAATAGAACTGCCATATGATCCAGTAACTCCACTTCTGGGTATTAATCCAAAGAAATCCAAAACACTAATTCAAAAAGAATTAGTGCACCCCACCCCTATATTCACTGCAGCATTATATACAACAGCCAAGATATGGGAGCAACCTAGGTGTCCACTGACAGATGAATGGATAAAGATATGGTACATATATACAATGGAATATTAGCCATAAAAAAGAATGAAATCTTCCCATTTGCAACAACATGGATGGACCTACAGGGTATTATTATGTCAAGAGAAAAAAGTCATACAGAGAAAAACACCACATGAATTCACTTACATGTAGAATCTAAACAAAATAAAAAATCAAACTCAACAGGAACAAATTCAGAGATACAGGGAACAAACTGATGAATTTCAGTGGTGGATGGGTGAAAAAAATGAAAGGGATTAAGAAGTACAAATTGCCAGATACAAAAATAGTCATGGGGATGTAAAGTACGGCATAGGGAACATAGTCAATATTATTGTAATAACTATGGTATCAGATGGGTGCCAGACTGACTCATCATGGTGATCACTTCGTAAGATATATAAATGACTAATCACTATATCGTACACCTGACATATAATATTGCATGTCAACTATAATTGAAAAACATTTTAAAAAATAGCTTTAGCCCATCACTTTACAAATATTTTTTATATATATGAAAAAACGATGTAGCAAAATTGATCATCTTAGAGGACTGAAAAAATTACACAGTACATTATTAATATTCACATTTTTGAATAGTCTTTAACGGCAAGGGAAAATATTAATGTCTCTATTATGAAACATACAAAACATTTTAAAACAAAAGGGTATGTGTGTTCTCTGCATAAGATTAATTTTTTGGACTTTTCAACTGCTCTACAATAAATGTGAATTCATAAAACCTTTTTAAGTTTACAACTTCTATGAAAAGTTTGCAAACTTATGAAACTGAGCTGCTACTTTATAAACTACAAACTAGGAGTCTTCAACTAGGAATAGTTTTGCTAGTTATTGAACACTGACAATTGCTGAAGAAGGGACAAATTAGATGCTGAAAATTACTATATATAACACTGTCTGTCCTATAAGTAAAGCCTAGGTTACTGTGGTTTATTGGCCCATAAATTCATTTTGCCAGATGGTATAGTGCTTTCCTTTAGGAAGGAAGGGGGTAGTCTGAGTTGGGGTAGTCTAGTTGCAGATTTTCTTTTTAATAAAAATTTCAAATATACACAAAGTAGAACAAAATGAACACCCTGTACACCTCATAACCTATTCTCTAAGACCTGAAAGGAGATGAAATACTTGAACACTAAAAGAAAATCTTGAATGCTCCAAGTTTTATTTTAACATAAAAACACACATTGAGCCAGGTATCTCATTAAGAAAACAAATTAGCTAACTCCACCACTTGGTAGGATTCTGAGTGCTGAAGCTCTAATATGAAAAACTAACAGTAAATACGCCTGATCTTAACATAAAATAAATACCTTTTTAGGACTGTAAATATGGCAGGAAAGCCTTCAACCTCCTACAATAGATTTCAAGCATCTTCCATGTTGGAAAATATGGCAAAAGCCCAGGTAGTCTCCTATTTAAGTAATGCATATCTGAGGAAGCAGAACAAAGATAATACACTGTCCATTAAATACATTTCTTTTTATTTATTCTGTAGATTTCTGAAGAAATCTATAGCATTTAGCCTAACCCCTGGCAAGTCTCTCTAATTGAGGGGTTTAGACAAAATGACTTTATCTCAATGTCTACTACCCAAAATAGCTAAAATATCTACCATCAATGACACAAGTTTGAATTCCAACTATAATCACTGACCACAAGCATTACTGGTAAACACCATCCTAGCAAGTGTGCTTTCCAGGTAGTAGTACAGGACTCAGAATGGACAGTCTGACATATACTAGTTCCTCACAAATAAGAATTACCTTGCCTCCACTCTAACAGTCAGTATCAGTCTGTGTTTAAAATCTCTTCTTCAAAAGATCTGTTTCAATTCTATTTCCAAATTCACTTCATTGTTTTGTACCTTGGTTTTCTCAATGACAAAATGGAGATAGCATCTGCTTCTATCAACTTCATATGGGTGTTGTGAAGATCTAATAAAATAAAGGACACGAAAAGATCCTTGGATTTCTAAAACTAAGTCTGTAAGTTAGAATACTCTATTCAGTGAGAGT